TTAATACTTTGTACTCATGCTATGTAGACCTGAAAGAATAGGTTAGGGATAGATTATCCATCCATCCACCCACCCATTAATTAAGTCTAGTGGTTTTCTAGCATCAGGCTAGAAAACGGGAAATTATGAGTTCAAGTTCTTCCTTGGCATGAAAGCCTGCTGGGTGGCTTTGCACCAGTCACTCTCTCTCAGCCCAACCCACCTCACAGGGTTGTTGTTGTGGGGAAAATGGGAGGAGGAAGTTATTTGTAAAAATAAAAAAGATGAGATATAAATAAAATAAAGTAAATAAAATAAAAAGTTGCTGGGAATCAAAAACTTCATGGTAAATAATCAATCAAACTCATGCTATACCAGTGGCTTAAACCTATTTTTCTTGGATTTGGATTATACTCCAGTTTTCCTGCAATAGAGACCTATAGGCTCTTTACCGAGACTCCCCATTATAACAAGACGTTTGTCCAGATTTGCATTACAGATTCTGTCGTTCTATATCTGCACTGCTTTATTCTTCCTATATATTATTTCACTCTTCCTTTATAGAGCTAGTCTAATCATTTCCCATAAATTCCTCACCTCAACACTCCCAAATTTTCTCTGAATCACACCAGGTGGTAGCACTTATCTTACTTAATTCCCCAAAAGTTAAATAGAATTGGATCTGGATTAGAGAGATTACAAGGAAATCCCGTGGCTGCAAACTAATTAGGAAGTAAAAAATATCCAAGAAAAAGCAATGATAATTCATTTCCATAAATCTACCAAGAAAACCGTCTGGATGAAACACCAAGTCACCAAGAATAAAGCTCAGTTTAAGGAATCCTCCATTTTTTGTTTTTTTTTACTCTATGTGTCACCAAACCTAGAACTAAATTACTGGTAAAAAAATATGCTAGATGAGATATAAAAATTCCTCCCAATTTCTAGAATCAGATTATAATGCAAACTAGGGGCTTTAAGAAGGAATTAAATATTGTATGAAATCTTATATAGCAGAAACAATTTCTTACTTCACCAAGTCATCTTCTGAGATGAGCCATGTATAGTATATGCATAAATCCGCATCTGTGATCCTGCAGAATACAGATTAATCTGATGCATCTGTAAATAAAAGTCTGTTGAATTCAACCAGAATTCAGACAGTAGATTCTAGTCTACCTTCTGCCTACCTCTGTCCTAGATCTTCTCATTATTTCTGCCAGATGTTAATCAGAGCAATCAGATGTTAATCAGGGTATTCCCCCCCCCTCCAAATGTGAAAATAGCATGTTAGTAAAAAAACAGGTTAGACTCTATCTAGTGCAAAAAAGTGCCCAGTCTAAGCTGTAGCACAGGGTCAGAGAGAGGCTCATGATATCTGAGGAAAGAAGGGCGTCATTTATTAGGAAGTTTCTGTTTTGTTTACAGGTCAAGGTAGTGCTGCTGCCTCCTCTTGGAAAACTGTCTCATGGTTCAAAAGTCCTCCCCCTGTTCTCCTTTCCCCTGGGAAACAGGGTAAATATTTACAGCCGACCAGAGCTGAGGGGCTGCCGTGGAGACAAAACCAGCCCCTCATTGCCATTTCCCTCAGCAGCACGGCGAGGAGGAGGAGATTGCGAAATGCGGAAAATGCGGAGACTGCTCACATTGTTTTTCTTGGTCGAGGCGGAGAAATCAACGGCAGATGGAGATTCGCCGATTGCCAAGAATAAAATCAAGCATTGGTACACCATACATCCAATAGGCATGAAGGGACAAACTGGCCTGTGAACGAACATCTTATGTTGCCAAATCAATGGCTGGAAATGAACACCTCCAAAACATGGGAAGGCAATAAACCACCTTGAGCATCTCAAAAGTCTTGTCATATTTTGTATGCTCTCAAGTGGGTGCATACGTAAAAAAAAAACCTGAATGCATTGGGGGGTTTTCTCACATGCATAGACTCTTGTATTTTGTTGACAGTTAATGATAACATGACATAACACTCATTGTGGTCACTGATGCACTGCAACATAACAAACAAAAATTGAAAGGGGACAAAAATTGAATCTTATTGCAACTATGTAGTCATGTATTAGAGGTATCAAAGATACTAAAAGTTAAATTGATAGAGTACTGATTAAAGTTATGCTTTAAAGGGGTACATTTTGTACATTTCTACTTATTGGCAGACAAGAGGCTTCAGTTAACATTCTTAGAGATCAACAGCAGATGACAAAAGCTTGAAGATTCTTGAGAATTTTATTTCCTTTAGGTCTTTTCATATTGGATTTTATATTGTGTGGTCTTTGGTGCTCTCTGAGCTTGGTTGTTTTCTTGCAGATGTTTTATTACCAAACTAGGTAGCATCATCAGTGCTAGAAGGGAGAGGGGTTTGCTCTCATATACTAGTGGCTTGTCATGTTACTATTGGTGGGAGTGGTTTTAGTGGTTCTTGATTAGACTGTCCTTTACTATTAACTTGTTTGTCTGCATTGTTAGCTTTTTGATTGGGATATTTACTTCTTGATTGTTAATCTAATGTTAATCTTGATGTTTGGTCTTCTTGTTTCCTTTTTGGCTTTTTAATTGTCTCTTTTGAATTCACTAAGCTTAGGGAGCACTGAGGACTGTCTCATGGTTCAACCCTGCAGTTCAACCCTGAGCTACAAATATTCTCTTCTATCAGATTTTATATTGTCTCATGGGACAAACAACTATCACAATCACATGATTTCAAAGGCAGGATGAGGAGGATCAACAAATAGAGATTCACTCTAGAACCTATGGAGATGTGGCTGCACAAACCATCGAATATTTTAAAATGTATAGCTGTGTTTTATGAAGACTCTTTTTGAATTGTTAAGATAGCTATGACTTTTACCAGGCTCATATGTTACCTGCACTGCGCTTAGGGGCCGGCGCACTGTGGCTGCTGCTGGACACTGTTGGCCCCCATGTGCTTGCTGCCTCTTGTGCGCATGCCAGGGAGCAGGGCACCTGGCTAGGCTGATCACTCTGATACCATGTTTCCCCAAAAATAAGTCCTAATGCATCTTTTGGTGCAAAAAGAAAAAGACCAGATCTTATTTTCGGGGAAACACAGTATTACATTAATTGAAACACAACCCACCAGATTAGAAATTGAATTATGTTAATACAGGTAGTCCTTGATTTACAGCAGATCATTTAGTGACTGTTCAAAGTTACAACAGCACTGAAAAAAGTGACTTATGACCATTTTTCACACTTATGATCATTACAGCATCCTCAGGTTCAGGTGATTTATATTGAGACACTTGACAACTGACTCACATTTATGACGGTTGCAGTGTCCCGGGATCATGTGATCACCTTTTGCGATCTTCTGACAAGAAAGTCAATGGGGAAACCAGATTCACTTAACAACCATGTTACTAATCTAACAAATGCAGCAGTGATTCAGTTAACAATTGTGACAAGAAAAGTTGAAAAACATAAATTTTGGGCTCAATTGTGGTCGTAAGTTGTGGACTAACTGTGCAGAGATCTAATATTTCAATAAATATCCAAACTACCGAACACACAAATTCACATTTCAACCCATTTTGTGACTGCAGGATTCTTACATTTTATTTCAGTCTTTATAAGAACAGCTAGGCAATTGCAAGTTGATTTGTAAATTTATATATTCTGGATATAAGATTTGTAGCTGTCAGGGACACAGAACAGGTGATGATTAAGAGACTGTGCCTTACTTGAGATTTTGGAATCCAAAGCATTTTATACCCATTTGGGTTAATCCACCTCAGGTATGTATTAAGTCTCGAGCACAATAGTTCTTACATAAAGTTCTTAATTTTCTGGAAGAGAAGCTGAATTTGAAAATGCCAGCATGTGTTTCATGATTTAGATCAGGGTTAGGCAACCTTGGTTCTTTTATGACTCGTGGACTTCAACTCCCAGAATTCCTGAGCCAGCATGGCTGGCTCAGGAATTCTGGGAGTTGAAGTCCACAAGTCATAAAAGAGCCAAGGTTGCCTACCCCTGATTTAGATCCTGAGCAGAGAATTGGATTAGAAGACCTCCAAGGTCCCCTCTGACTGTTATACTATCACTGAAAGATGGTACTTTTTAAAAATAAACAATAAACCATAGATTCCATCAACTCACAGGGGTTTTCTCTGTGGTTAAGGCTCAGCCAAGACATTTTGCTGCCTGAGGCACAGTAGAAAATATCCTATTCTCCCCCAAGTTAAGATGCTCTTGAACCTAAATTAGGCACACATGGAGACCCTATCTCAAAATGTAACTTTCCATTTCTATCAGCAAAAACCGAGTGCTAAAAAAAACATTGTAGATAACAATTTGTTGCCTTTCTGTGACATTCGATATTTACCTTTCTAGGAAACTGCCTTGCTGATTTAACAGTAACACTAGGCCTGCCTGACGCCTGATCAATGCATGAGCTTCTCTATTCATTTTTAATTGGTTTTTGCATCCAATGCAAAATTTTACAAGCACCATTTTCTAGAAATCTCCTCACATCTACAGACCAGAAATAATGTGATTGTGAAGAAACCATTCTGCAGAAATTCTTTTGCAAAAAGGTTGTGTATACACAAGCATGTACTTATGTTGTGCATTTTTGTGGAAAGAGGGAAAGATAGGCATGTATATCCTGAAGTCTACCAGAAGGAAAGAAGATATATTTCAAAATGGAAATGCATATATATGTAACGTATATAAACGGTAACAGTATGTTTGCCTGACCAATGTACTGCTGAACCTATTTGTGCCTTCCTTTTTTCCCATACATTTTATTAGCCAAGCATTAACAGGGCTCCTCAGCCAAAACATATACCTACCTATGCCATAAAATTCTCAAGACACATGGCTACAGTTGCACTTTGTACAACTGTACAGTTGTACTTTGATCTCACTTGGGACTTGACAAAGACTGGTACATGGAGGCTGGACCACTAACATTTTTGACAAGGTCTCTGATGATATTTTGTTTGGATAAAATGAGCTAAAGAGTATTGTGGTCTAGAAGATTTGCAATTGTTTGAATAATTGTGCTTGTTAAAGGTGCTGCATCACTCTAACAGAAATAATAATTGAAGTCCTGCAGGGCTCCATTGTCAGCCTGTGCTGGTCAACAAATTTATAAATTATAAAGATAGAATGGAAAGGGATGGGATGGGATGGATACTTATTATATTTGTAGTTGATATTAAAGTAAGGTGATCAGCCAGCAATTTAGAGGGTAAAATCTTGATTTCAAATGATTCTGGCAGGCTTGACTGCTGGACCAAATCCAGCAGGCTGATGTTCAATGGTGACAATATAATGCAATGTCTTGACCTATAAGATTCTCTTCCAACTCATCTCTCTCCTTCCTTCTCTCCTGCCCTGCCTCCCTCACACAATTTTCAAGCTGTTTCTTCTGACTGAAGTTCACTGCATTATGGACTGCTCCTACACAATTTATAAGTGGATGGAAATAAATAAGAAAGTGGTGGGAACCAGTTTATGGAATGCCAACTATGACACATGGAAGCCTTTCCTCTTTACTTGCTGAGGCATTTCATTATTTTATAACTGGTTTTCATGTTATTATCTAGATCATACTAATAATACAGCCACTGTGTCTAATTACAATATGAGTGAATATTGTAATAATATAATATTATACCTGGCTTTTTAAAAACAAAAATATGATTATTCATTATGAAATATTAAGATTGGAACTAAACATTGGATTTATTTTATATCCAAGCTTTCCATTAAGAGCTCAAGTTTGCATAGATACCAGATCTTTTCTGCATTTTTCCCACAAGAAGCCTGTGGAATAAGCTGGACTGAGATAGAGAGACTGGCCAAGGATTCACTCACTGAATCCTTGATTGAGGATGAATTTGAATCTAGGTCTCCCCTGTCCTAGTCTAACTACTACATCACTTGATTTTTACCAGTTTCTGAATAGGAGTCTACCTGGAAATCCTGGATTTTTGTGAAGAAAAGATGGGGAGCAAACTAGTTGGATAAAAATAACACTGTTGAGTCAGATATCAAATAGAACTAATATGTTTGAAATATGTATGAAGAGAAGGGAAAGAAGGCATGATAGAATCTGATGACATCATAAAAGTGAATTCTTGGGGCGGGGGAACCAGTGGAATCTAAGAATTCCTAGTGAGCTTGAATATCTTCATCCATCAACTACTGATTC